CCAGAGAGAATGGCTCCAGGTCACCCGCCCCCAACCCCACCCCCAACATGCACACTTCTCCAGATCAGTCCAGAGGAGTATGAGGGACAGCAGTTAGCTATCCCGTGACAGCAAGGGTCCTTCACTCCAGGAGCCTTGCCACTGCGGGAGAATGGTTTCCAGTCCCCTCGACCTAAACAAGTGTCAGGGGCGGGAGGAGGCAGAAAGCTGCTGTGCTGCATCAGCACAGTTACCCAATGATATGAATGCCTGTTTATAACCTAGAAAACATTACACCTCTAAGAAATGCATTTCTATTTCCTTGACTTATTTAATTGGTTTCTGTTTTATAAAGTATTCAAATTCCAAGCTTTTGCAGATATTTTTATCCAAAAGTAGCATTCTCTGTTTTGCAGTGCAGCCCACCCAAACGAGAACTTTTCCAATGGAGTCTGCTCTGACTTCCTGGTGTCATATTGAATGAAATAGTTTGAATGTTTGTAATGGTTGCCCATTAGCCAGTTTCAGGAAGAAGATAAGATGTAGCTCCTTATCTAGCTCATTGTTTTGGACTATGTGCAAAAGGTCCTGACTTTGTTTAAAGTCTTAACTTCTGAATTTTATCTTTAGAAGTCTTTTACAAAGAGCAAATATCCTGAGTTCTGAGAGATCAAACCCTAAAGCCTTTTGACAGATTGGTAAGAAAAGGTCACTTGCAGTGGTATGGAAGTTCCCTAGAATAATTAAAATGATCAACAAAAAGAAACTAATTACTAAGCAAAAGAATCTGTTGAGTAAGATCTGAGCCCAAATTTGGGGGTAATGACAGGTTTGAGTAGGAGGAGCCCATTGACGGCAGCTCACTCAATAAAAACTGTAATTTACTGTCCCAATTTGGAGGTGACTTCACTTGCAGAACAACGAAGGAAGAATCGCAAGTGTAGGCTGGAACAGACTGATCACCTGATCCACCCTCTCCGTGAACACGAATCTCTTAGTTCACGCTGAAGCCACGGAGCACCTGAAAGGGACTGAAGGAAGGGGACTTAGTCCTATCACTGCTGAGGCCAGCCTATTGAATTGTATTGCTGAGGCGAGTCCATTGAACCGTACTACTGAGGCCAACCCATTAAATTGTACTACTGAGGAATGAAACCATATTTTGGTATTTGGCTTCTCGGAATTCTAGGATTGTAAGTATAATATGAAAAATAATAGTATTGATTCAAATTTAACTTTTAGTTGTAATTGTAGTTGTTTTTGTAATACTAATTCTTATAGCATTGTTTGGGAAGGAAGTGCATTCGGAGCATTGTTTCTGATATATGTAATTATTGTGTTCTTAATGTTTGTGGTGTTTCTTAAAGCTAAGCAGTGTTATATACGTAGCAAAGAGTTTTAAAATAAAATTGTGTTGTAGAAATTAAGTGTGTAATCATTGTGAAATCGTGCAATCAGCTAACTACTCCCCCAGCCAGTGCATCAAAATGAATCAGTAAATTGTGTGGGATTTTCTCTATTCCATAACCCACTAGAGATACCTGGCAAATACTCCACTGTTGAATACAGTCTCCCATCTCTTTGCTTATCTATAAGTCCATGTATATCAAGGTCAATGGGCAGATACAGAGGCAATGTTTCCCCTCCACATGCACAAGAATGTGGGTGAGAAGGGAATAATATGGCCCAAAGTTTATATAGCCTGGAAGCCCTCTCATTTGTGCCATGTTCTAGACTTTCTCTAACCCTTTAATAAACAGCAGGGAGTGAAGTAATGTGTCACTTTGTGACCTCAAGCGAGGCATTTAGCCTTTTATTGCCTCATCTGCACAATGAGGATAATTATGTTTACTCGTTCGTAAAGACCTTTGAGATCTGCAGGTGAAAGACTTCCAAACTTTGAATTTTTAGTGTTATTATTAATCATCTTCTTCTTGCATTGAGTACAATGATAACTCTGTTTAGTAAGCCACTGAAATGGTGTGTATCCTTCTGGATATTATTAAAGGATAATCCATACTACAGTGAAATTCTTATTTTTCTCGATGAAATAGGCAGCAAATCAAACAAGCCAAATAAGGAAAGATGAATGAGTTTTATATTTGTGAGGAGAAAATTGGAAATAATGTAATGTTAATCTTATTTACATTACATAGATAAGTTTAAAAATATAACAACTGCTTTTCTACAACTATCACCTTTCAATAAGCCTCCTGAAGCCATTTGATTTAGGAAACAGAGGGTGCCTATACAAGAGCAGTAAGGCTGCTCCAGTATACTGTAGTTACAGTGCATTGGAGCAGATTTGATTAACTGATTCTGCTGAAGCATGGTAATTATCGTACTCCAGGAGACTCCAGCATCTCATGCATTGGCATCCCCATGCTTAAAAATGGTGGCAAGAGTGTTTAACTAAAACTCATTCGATAAGCTTTAGTTAAAGTGCCCCCACTGCCATTTTTTAGTGCGGGAATGCTGATACACATTCCTTCCCCCCACATGTACACACCCAGTGCATGTGTATAAACAACCCTATTGATCAAATGTTATGTCAGACTAGCAGAAAATATTGATAGTCACAAAAAGGCTTCATACAGTCATGTTACCACACAACGTTCTGGAAAATATGGGAAGGGACCATGGTTTTTAAAACTGTCATTTGGAAGATTAAACATGGTAAATGGCAACTAAAAATTCCATTTTACAATGGGCTACACTAGTGTACATTAGCAAGACACTGGGTGTATCTATATGTGTAATTAAGGTGGAGCAATAAACTCTAACACAGTCCGCACTGGAGTCAAGTGCTCCAGGGCACAGGGTCGACACGTGTCCGGGACTGAAGCACTCTGAGCCAGGGCACATCAGTCCTGGGCTGGCAGAGGACACATGGGGACAGCTCTGGCCTCTGGGTGGCATTGAGGAGCTGTGGAGGGGCTGGCTGGGGCATGAGGGTGCTAAAGTGTAGTGCTAAGGTGGCAGGCAGCCTCTGCACTTTAGCACCCTCATGCCCCAGCCAGCCCCTGCCACCACCTACACATGCATTTTGGCACACATAAGTACTCTGCTATAAGATAGTACTGTCCCCAACAGTACTATTTTGTGGCAGAGTTAACTAATTTACTGCCCCTAATACCAGCACACATGTAGATGGTAATGCTTTACTACAGAGCTAATTAGTATAGTCTACAGTAAAGCGTATGTGTAGATGCACCCACTGTGAGCAAATTTTTACCTGACCCTCAGAATACTCTTTAAAACGTATTCAAGTTCATTTATATCAAAAGATTTGTTTTCAATAAGGAAAATGGACATAATGTAGCATAATTCTCACACTCGAGGTGATTTTTAAGCAGGGATTTGTCATTTTCAAGCAGTATAACTTAGAAAATGATGGAAACAGAAGAACTGCTGAAAAATAAGTAGAAGATGACAAAAATATAAAAACTTTTTAATTTAAAATGAAGCATGTCAAAAGGAAGATGTTCCCTGAAGTTTTCCAAGAATTAATGCCTGAAAATGAAATGTGTACATGTTTGCGAGAGAATATTCAGTGAAATTAAAAAAAACAAACAAACTAATTTCTTTGTAAATGATGTAACAAACAGAAACATATTCTCAAAGAGATTCTATGATTACATTTTCTTTTTTCTAGAACAGCCCGACATCACAAATTTTATAGGAGACATCTTCATCTTATTTTATGTTATACCTATATCTTTAGCATGGACACGATTTACCAATACGCTCTAGGTAACTTAAACACAACTGTTTTCACAAAGCAAGCATTTAGACATTTAGCAAGCACTCAGATGTGAACACAGAAAATTAGCTCAGCTCCTAAAATGGGGCATGCCAATTTGGCATTCCTATGAGGGAAATATTCTTATGCTACTATCTTTGCAGCATAAGAAATTAGATTAGCATTACACAATGACTGAAAATTATTCATTCTTGAATAGTCCCACTATTTCTCATAAAAGATCCCTAGAAAATGTGTTCACAACTTAGGGGTAACAAGTATGTCCAAACAGGGTTGCTTCTATTTTTTTCTTGCTTATGGCTAGGTAAAATTTTGAATTAAACTGAAACCTTGTTTACTATTGCAATATGGGGTCAGGTTATGGAGAACATAAAGAACTTAGGATCCAGACCATACATACAGCTGCAGTGCCTTGAAGTACCTCAGCTTGATTCAGCTTCTCATTCAAAATGGAAAGAGGAAGTACTTTACTAGAGTTCAAGAGCAGTGTTCCTCTGCCACTAACAGTAGATCTTGTTGCATGGGTCACTGAGCACGTTTTATTATCGTTTCTCGCCCTCTTGAAGGCTCAGATGAAGTATAGTACTGCCATCCCACATTAAAAGTTAGAATGTGTTTTGAGGTTTTTGGTTGTAGCCCTGTTGGTCTAAGGACACAGGCAGACAAGGTTCTTTGGATAGATGTGATATCTTTTATTAGACAAAATAAATAGTTGGAAAAATTGTTCTTTGCAAGGTTTTGCACACAAACTATGCCTGAAGAAGGGTGTTTGTGCCTGAAAGCTTGCAAAGAACAATTTTTCCAACTGTTTAGTTGGTCTAATGAAAGATATCACATCTTGTCTGCCAGAATATGCTCTGAGCAGTCACATAGCAAAGCTTACTATAATCTCAGCCTACTCTGGACAGAGTTGGAGCTGGTTGTGCCCCCACTCCTTCCCCCACCAACACTGACCTTGGTATTAGGCACTGAAGCTCACATGTCCACCTGTGATGATGTGAATCCCTCATGCCAAGCACCTGGGATGTTTTGTATCGCTACATGTAAAGGTGATGCCAAACACCAGGCAGGGTGAATAGGATCTAAAACACTGTGAATAAGTTTCTAAGGCACTAGAAAAAATTCTGTACACTTGCAGAAGTTTTTTTTTTTAAATGCTTTTCAGTTTTCAGTATGGAAAACATGATTTGGTTGGGAATACACAAATATGCAACATATGCTTTAGTAATATAATCAGTACATTGAAACATAAACACACCTGTTAATGTCTGATCCACCAAATTGGTTGCCATGAAAGTCACAGCTGGTGTAGATACAGCAGTTACCCTGGTGACTTGAGTTGGCATCAAAGGAGTCATATGGGCATCCATTCTAGAAGCAGCACCTGCATGTGAACCATAATGAAAACATTACTTTTTTCCATTGAATAAAAGTATCAAAAATAATCTTTTTGCAATCTTATTCAAAGCACCTTTATTTACTGGCTGTTAAATATAACTGGAGACATACTCCAAAGCATTCCTTTGAATGTTTCAGTCCTTCTTTTGTGTGTGCTCTAGTTAGTAACTCTGGACACTGACAAGGTTATAAGAAAAGTAGTCAATTTTAAGAAATTACTAAGAAAATCTTATTGATTTAGTAAACGTCCAGTAGCTCCACCAGAAAATGAATTTCCTGGTGACATATTTAACCAAACAGGAACTAGATATATACCACATTCAATTATCTTATTCAGAATGAACCAAAGCACTTTTAATGCCTCATATAGGAAAAATAGGCTGCTTAGGACCCAATATTATTCGCAGAAAATATTTGGCAAATAATTTAACATAAGAACTACTTCCAAGGAAATCACAATCTGCTCACAAACAATTCACAAATGGAAAATGGCTAAATTGATCAAAAAATTATACATGATAGAATACTCATCCATTTCATCTGCTAAAACTATGCTACATTAAAGCTGGACCGCTTATTCCTCAAGAGATATTTCAGTGTAGGGCCACTGACAAATTCATTGAAAGAACTGCAGCATTAACTTACAGCTATGTGTGATTTTAGTCACACAAAGTTTCATGTGGTCATGTGTGATTCCATACTTGCAAATTTTGCTGTACATCTATTTTATTGAATACTTTACCTGTACCCAGTAGTTTTTATATCTCCTTTTCCACATTACATGGTCATTGCTATAGAACACTTCTTTAATATTTACTATATATTGTAAAAATTCCTCTTGAATCTTGCTCACTGTACCTTGCATTTAATATTTATTGAATAAACGACACTGGAAAAGCTTCTGCCCTAGTGGGAAAGAAGGGGCCCAAGCTACAAGATAGGGGCCTGTACCTTCCAGGGTAGCATCCATATCATTAACCATCTGGTTTGTTCTCTTTATCCTGGCCCCGCATCTCCCACTCAGCTTTCCACTGGACCAGTGTCAAGGCCTAGAGAGATGTCTGAGTAATGACTAGCTTATGTCTTGGTACCACCACAAATCCCTGGACCAATGTCCTAATTATTGGCTACTGGGCTAGAAGATGAAAAGGCTACCCCACCTCCTCTTCCATCTAAAACCTGCTAGTCATGGGGGGTTTTGCAATTAAAAGTTTGGCTTTACACATGTACATAAGTGATACTATTTTCCTGCACAGCTGTGTGGCCAAAGCAAGTATGCCTATATGGGTACTGATGAACTGAAAACTATGAGCAGGCTGCTACACATTACAGCATTCCTTTCCTTTTTCATCCTTGTGATGAAGTTTTTAGCAGAATTTGCAGATTCATTTGAATTTGTGAGGGCCATGCCATGAGTCCTTTACCATAGCCTCACACTTGCAACTTCTGGGCGGTAAACCATGTATGCACTTTAGTACCCATGCCACCCCAGCCCCAACCTACAAGCAAAAATTGCTGTGTATGTGCCATTTATGTGAATAAAACAAAATATGACTTAGCTAAGAATGCCTTTTGGCTCTCTGATTGCGAGACTGATACTAGATTAATAAACAAAACTACCACTAACACACAGCATGTTCATCCAATTGTTATATACAACAAAAGCATTTTATGAAATAAATAATATAGCTTATATCAGCTATTTATTTATTAAAAATACTGTTTGCATCTGTTTGAATTGGAAGACTGTTTTGTTTCTTGTTCATATCTGAGATGTAAATCAGAATATATGAAGTTAACACTGAGGCTTCTAGCTGCTGCAACTGGGGTCAGGAGTATTCAGTAATCAAAGATATAAGATTCATCCTAGCTAGACAACTGAAGAGACAAGATATATTCAAAAGGTGGCTCTTCTGGAAGCAACAAAAATAACTAGTCATGTGTATATTTTGCTGTTATGCATGCATATCCCCTTTGAATTTAATACAAGTGATTCGTGCAGTGAGTAGAATAAATCACTCACAGTGAATGCTTGCAATTCTTCCTCCTACCTCCAGTCTTCAAATTACAATTGTAACATCTGTCGTTTCCCCAATAAGTGGAGGGCTCCCTACTCAAGTCACTTAAAACTTTGGAGAAATATATTGTAATGATCAATGGTCCAGTCAGGATAGAGTAAATGATCTGACACTTTGTGGTCACAGTAGTCCCATCCACAAAAAACGCACCATAAAAGGAGCTGGGACAGAAGAATAGTTGAGTTAACTCCTATTGCATATCTTATAACGAATGATCTTATCACTGAGAGGGACTAGTTCCCTGGCAACATGGTTTCAATAGAGCTAGATTTCTAGGATTCCTCTACCTGCCACAGATCCTAAATGTCCCATGGGACTTCTACATCACAGAGGATACACTATGGGAACACTCAATACCCTCAGATTAGTTCCATTTTAATGAGCTTTATGTGGGCTAGGTTAATGCATGACATCCTTACATGCAATGCAATGCACCCTTACATTCCAGCATCCCTGCAGATGATGTCAAAAAATCTTTAATTTCAACTTTCATATTGGGGGATAGCTCCCTGCCTAGACCTGATGGCACATAATCTGAACCTAGCAACTCTATAGAAATATATCACCAGGACTACTGACTAATATTTATTGTCTTTTCCAGTTAACAAGTTTTAAAGCTGCTATTTTAATGCATTCTCATATTATCAATTACAGTTTCTTGGAGGAAAATTGGAGTTTAGGCTATAAACCAGATCGGTGAGATGTACCCTCCTAAGAGCTGAAGGAGGATTTAAAAACACAGTAAATCATTTTAACGATGCTCCATTTTTTAAGACTCTGTCCTCTACTGCAGCAGAGGTGGCAAAAATATAAAACTTATGAAAGTAGTAATGTTTAACAGAAGTAGAAAGGAATGTTTTCATAAAGGGTTAAAATGACTAAGAAAACCAGGAAGAAAAAAATAAAAACTCTTACAAAAGTGACAGATCTGTGAAAAAAATCTGGTATTCAGAGAATTAAATATTTGATGCATATGAGGAATAAAGTATGATATTTATGGAATTAGAGGAGACAGAATTTTAAAGCACAGTGAATGCTATCGGGATGGCCTATGGTTAGTCAGAGGGATTCCCTGTCATGTTAGTGGGACACAGAGAAGATAAAGGAGATTGACTCATTCCAGGTTCATTACCTTTAGGGTTTCAAGAGTGATCCAGAAAACAGTATGATCAGCTCAGCAGTAATATTATCTGGCAAGGGACAACCATACCAGATAGGATTCATAATATGCCAAGGGCATTCCATGTTTGCAAGATTTATTTGGAGGAAGAAATGGAATTTGTACCCATGGAGATGGATAAATATTTTGATCTGAGAACAGATGACTATTCGGTTTTTTGCTTTATTACTCAGAGATTTATTGTTATGGTATTGTAAGAGTGATGTTGTAGCCACAATTGTCCAGATATACAAGAGGCAAGGGTTTCTTAGGGTGATATCTTGTATTGAACCAACTGTACAGAGTTGGGATAGACTTAAACAAGCTTTCAAATGTCTAAGGTCACCTAAAGAAGAATGTCTTACATTTGAAAGTCTATGTAACTTTATCCCAACTGTACCATTTGTCCAATAAAAAAACACCCTAAGAAATCCTTGCCTCTTGCATATATTATTGTTATACAATTTTGGAGTACATAGTGCATAGGGCTCTTTGAATTACAGGTTCAAATTCCCGGTAGGGTCAATTCAGATCTTCATTTTTTTAGGTAGCTAAACTGCATAGTGAACTAGAGATGAAAATGATCCAAGACCTTAAGAAAATGGATGGATGTCTACTGTAGGAGCATGTCAAAGCTCTACTGGCACTTTGCCAGAATAGTTAAGACTTTGTTTTGTGCTTCATTCATGTGTTGCTTTGTAATTGTGTTAGGTAGGCTGTCAGCTGCCAAAATCAGGAAATGGGTACCTATCAACTGAACTATTTATAAAATTCTTAGTAACTTCACAAGAAGAAAACTGTGCAGGGAATATGAGTTAGCATTAACAAATTCACTATTCTGAGATTTATTTATAAACCCTCTATCTTCTGTCTATTTACCATCACCCATGACTCCTGTCTTCCAAGAGAAGCAGTTGTTTCCTGAAACTAATATTCCCTGACCACTCAGGGTAGCAAACCATCATTCTCCACTTTTACTTGAGACCCATCTTTGATCTTCTGTCTTCACTGATGCAAGACTGAACGCCTTTGGAGAATTCAAGTGGCACCTTAAAAGGAGTATTCCATCAATCAACACTATGCTGTGGTTTTACAAGACATTACTTGTAGTAGAACAGTAGACATCTAATAAAACCTTAATCCTGAAATCACAATCACACAAATGTGGTGGCAGATTAGGAATGGAGACAATAGAAGTTATAGGTCAAATTTAAATATATATTTATTGTATTGTGTATGTGTATTGTGTATGTGTGCAGACAAGGTTCCTTGGATGAATTTGATATCTTTTATTAGACCAACCCAAATGGTTGGAGAATAGTTATTAAGCAAGCTTTCGGGTTCAAAAACCCTTCGTCAGGTTCAGGAAGCTGCAGCAGTTGGTGTGTGCTCTTCCTGGATGGAATGTATGTGTGTGTGTTTGTATTACATCAATATTTGTTTTTGTCCTCTGCTTGAGACATTTGAAAAAATGTATGCATGCAAGAAGTGTATCTCATATTTTTACAGACTTTTCCATGTAACATCATTCATTTAAGTCAGGGGTTTTCAATCCCTCGGCTGCAGCCTGGTGCCGGGCCATGGTGGGTCGCTGCTGGTCTGCAGCACAGTTGGCTACCAGACCGGAAGTGGCTGCAGATTGGCAAACTATGGCTCTTCAAAGCCAGGCGGCGAGGCTGAAACGCCTTCTGCAGGGCCTGCAGCAGCTCAGCGTTTGGCCCGCCCCCTTGCCCAGAGGGTGGGGATATC